GATTATTATTACTATTATCTAACTTAGATAATTATATTAACGTACTCAATTATAAATAATTTAATTCATAGCTGCTTTGCAATATAAGAATATATGAAGGTTAGAAGAAAATCTAAAATTTTATTTTGTAAAATTTCCTCAACTTTTTTAAGCACAGTTTTTTTAAAAATTTTAGGTTTTTTAAAAATTAAGAGTAAAAATTTTATTTTATAATAAAATTTATCTTTTTAAATTAAAAAAGGTTAAGTCGAATAATTCTGATCTTGAGAGGATAAAAAGCTGAAAAATTTTGCTTCTATATTTATCATGCATGAGAGATATTGCGAGGGCATTGTTGTAATTTTTTGGGGAAGCGAAGTGCAATTTGCATGGGTCTCTCAATTGGGTGTGATGAGTAAGTAGAGAGGCGACTTATAACCAGTCCTGCCCACTGGACTTTTTCCTTTTATGGTCCGAAGAAATGAATAAAATTTCATTTTTATGGAAAGAAATGGTGGGACCGCTGAAAACCTAGTACTCAAAAGGGCGACGACATTTCGTCACTATGTGTACTTTAATACTAACACATGGACTGTAGCAACAGTGCTAGAGAGAGAGAGGATCAGAGAGAAGTAGGGACCTCATAAAAAATCTTAAGAAATGGACTTGCATGTAGGCCAAATCCATTATCCACTGGCAGGGGTGTCAATTTCGAATCACGGATTGGGTTCGGGTCGAATTCAAAATTGACTCGGTACTATTCGGGTCAACCCGAACCCGACTCGTTTATATAAATGGGTCGGTTTTCTAGACCAAACCTGACCCGCTTTGGGTCCGGGTCAACCGACCCGATCCGAATGATCGGATTCGGATAAAAAACCGCTAGTTTTCGGGTCCAAAACTAGTCAAACTCCTCTTTTCGGGTCAAAAATGGGTCAATCTCAGGTTCCCGGGTCAAAAACGGGTTATCGTGTCAAAACAGGTCATTTTCGGGTCAATTTCAGGTTGACGGGTCAACCTGAATCCGACCCGATTTTTGAAACGGGTCGAATTATTGAACTCGAACCCGACCCGTTTCGGGTTTGGGTCAACCCAAACCTAAAATTTTTGGGTCGGGTTCAAATTGGGTTTTCGAGTCGGATCCAATATTGACACCCCAATCCACTGAGTGTCATGTGCAACAAATATGATATAGGCCAAATTTTAGATAGTATCACTATTTTTTTCTTTTTTTGGAACAGGTATCTACTCACTGTTACCCTCTTTACAAGGCGTTTGACGACGTAACTAATCCCTCGACGAGCCTACTTGCAACCAATCCCATAGGTGTAGGACCCACGGTTAATTTATCGCGATTTAATGGGTCGAGCCACATAATAGGGGATTCGAATATGGGTTGGGGGTTCCCAACCATACTCGCTCACCAACCCAGCTAAGCCTGATGGGGTAGTGTAATGCAACAATTACAATAACAATAAGTATTTATCATAGTATGTGAGATTAATTATATGATTTTTTTTTTCATTGTATTAGTCAAATTCCTTTAGATAGATTCATTTTTAAAGTTTAATTTAGAAGAAGAAATTTGATTGGAGGAAATTTTTTAAAGGGATCATAAAAACAAACAAATTTTGTGTTTTCATTAAAAAAACTAAATTCAAAGAAATTAAATGCAAAAAAAGTTTTTACTTTTTCTTTAAACCGCAATTTTTTTTTTTTAGTTTTCAGCTGTTTTTAAAATTTGACGGGAAAACTTTTTGCGTTTAAAAAGAAAATGCAATTTTTTTTTTTAAAATGCAGTTTAATTAGTTTAAAGAAAACGCAATTTTTTTGCATTTTCTTTGAAAGTAAAAATTAGTTTTTTAAGTAAAATGTAAAATCTATATTTTTTCGGGTTGACCCGAGCACGACCCCAAACTCAAATCGGGTCAGATTTTCTAACACGAATGAATCCGACACGTTTTCTACCTATGTCGACCCGTACCTGGATTTTTTTGAGTCAGATCCGTGTCAAGTTTCGGGTCGTGTCGAATATTGACAGCCCTACATAAAGTCTACAAAGTTTCAAGAGAATATAAAAAATTAAACTCTCTTTTGAATAATGAATTTTAGATAATCTTACTCTGCTAGGGTTTGTCGCTTGGGGTGTTCCCCCCGTCGGCGGGGGGATATCTGGTGCCGCTGATCAGCATTTTTCAGGGAGTTTTGTTTTTCCTTTCTCTGACTTTGGTTGCTGGATGCTTTTAGCTTGGTTTGCTTCTCTTTTTAGCCGGCAGAGCCGGTATGGCGCCGAATAAATTGAAGGATCCTGGGCTTTTTGGTGGTTTTTCGCACCCTAAGTCCTTTCTTGAAGCTTTAGCTGGTTCTTCTTCTTCCTTTCTGATTTGAGGACTTCTACTTACCGGGGTATGCCGTCGCTTTGGATTTCCGATGACGAAATTAAAGTGCTTGCTGCCCCCTTCCGTTTTTCTTTGGTTGGTTTTTTTCCGTCCAAATGTCCCCCTCTCGAGTCGATTCAAAATTTTTTCTTTAACTTAAAGCTGAATGGAGAAGTTTCGGTGACGGTTTTGGATCCTTCTCACATCCTCACAAAACTGGCCAATGATCTAGATTATTGCAGAGTTTTCTGCCAACGTTCTTATCTTGTTTTCAATTGCTTCATGAAACTTACTAAATGGTCTCCTTCTTTGGATATTGGTGTGGAGTCGCCGGTTATCTCGGTCTGGATCTCTTTTCCTCTACTTCGACCGCATTTCTTCTCCCCCAGGATTCTTTCTGGTCTGGGCGGTTTATTTGGAAAGGCACTGAAAATTGATGGTGCTACCGCTGTTGGATCCCGTCCATCTATTGCTCGTATTTTAGTAGAGCTTGATATTACAAAATCCTACCCCAAGCAAATTTGGTTAGGTTCAGAATCGTTAGGTTACGTTCAAGAGGTTGTTTTTGATGAATTCCCTCAATTCTGTGTTGGTTGTAAGTGTATTGGCCATTCTCTGGGTAATTGTCGTCCTGTTAAGCCTGTTAACGAGATTTCTCCCCTCCCCTCTAATGTTAATTTACAGGCTGTAGATGCTGAAATGGTTACAACTCATTTGGATGTGGAGTGTGAGGTTGAAAATGGTGTGGTTTTGCCCGTTGAGGTGTTACCGTTGGCTTCCCCTGTTGTTGGGGAGGTGTCTCTATCGCTAGCGGTTCAGGCTGGCGATGAATGTCGTGCTGTAAATGATGAGCTGGGTTCGGCGATTCAGGCTGTAGATGAAGTTTGTGATGATGTTGAGCTCGTTCTGTCTGATGTCCCCGTTAATGTTTCTCCTGTGTCGGTTTCAGCTCAGGTCGTTGAATCTATGACTGGTACAATAGTGGCTAGCGAGAGTGTTGAAAGCTGGCTGGATCATTATGGTGTTATTACTGAGGCTGTTAATTTTGGCTTATCTCCTAATGCTGTACATTTTTTTCCACCTACAGTACCGTCTACTAGTAATGTGTGTGTGCCTGGTAACATTGCGGGATTACTAGTTGAGGGTCATTTTGTGGACCCTGGTCTTGGTCTGGATGTGGCTGTGAATCAGGAATGCATTTCGGTTGCCAATAATTTTATTGAGGTACCTGTCAGTTTGGTTGATTCGCTAAACTTAGGCAATACCTTAGGCGATAGTTCTGGTCTGGATATTAGGAATCATATGAATTGGTTAGATTCTTCAGATGGTGATCCTGATTCAGAATTTTCTGATGGTGGTGGGTTGGCTTATACGAATATCTGTGGGGGTTTGGACCTGGAAATGATTTCACTCTTGTTAATGTTAGAACCACTTTCAATGTTGGCTCTCGGGGCAGAGTTCGTGGCCGTGGTAGGGGCCGGCGTAGGAGATAGTTTCTTAATTTTGGATTGCCCCTTGTTTTTTTTTTGGTTCGATTTTTCTGTCTGATATGCTGAGAGATATGCTGATTGGTGGGGTGTTGAGCAATGATGGGTTGGGGCTCGCGTCATTGATGCTTCGCTGGTGGCAACCATTGGTGTGATCTTTCGAGTTGGTTCGTTGTTCGTCGCTTTATCCACCATGGACGGTCCTGGTGTGGTTTCAGTGACGCTGGAAGCTTTAACCACTTACCGAGCTTACGTTTTATTGTATTTTTCTCTTTATTTCTTTCCCTGTTTTTGCTTATGTTGTAACGGTTGTTTTTATTTGAATAGATTCATGTTTTATTGCAAAAAATAAAAAAATAAAAAAACTCCTCATTTTGAAAATCTTCATAAAGCATATATGTGATCATTTTAGGACGAAAAAACCAAGATATTTGAGCAAAAAGAACTCCACCGAGCAATTTTTTTTTCTAATTTGTTAGCCTGTGTTTCAACCATTCTATCAATGTAATAATGATTAATGTACAGAAGAAATGAATTTATAGTTCTCTGTTATCTCCATTTTACTCGTCCTCCTCTATCACTTCACAGATTATTTCGATATCTAATGTTGCATTTTCGAAATCTAGAATTTTTTGCTAAGATAAAACATTAATACCACATGTTCTTTCTCTGATCGATCTCAGGTTGTCTTGTCCTCTAAATTTGAGCAATAATTATTGATTGATGACAACTGAATATTGATTAGGAATAATATATATTTTTTGTATTTATTTTCTAGGACTTTCTAAAAAGTTCTATTAAAGTTTTATATATAGCAGATGTAAGGAAGAGAATATATATGAAAAATATTTAATTTGAATATATTCAAATAAATCATTAATGATAATTAATTTATTCCTATGTTTGAATTGATTACTAATAATTAATCTCAATTAAGCTAGCGTAAGCAATGCAATAATCAATGCTTTTTCACACAACATAACTTTAATTTTTACCAATTAAACTTGCAGGTCCCAACCAAACAGTACTTAGTTCAGTTAATCCATTCACAAATTATCTATACAAAAAAGGTTTTACACCATTATAATATCTTATATATTAACAAAGTATAGGAAGTATATTTAACTAAGCTCTTTGCGTATTGGCCAAGTTTCTTCTATTGAACTTCCATGACTGCTTCTTTCAGCCTGTGATTCTATCAGATAAAAATAATAAAAAAAAATTAAGAACTAATCTAATCATTTCTTAATAAAGAAGACAATTTAATGAAGAGTTAGGAAAGAGTAAAATTGAGTGAATAGTTACCAGAGTTGCCGTCTATGGCCATGGAGTTCAGCCTCTTGCAGATTAGGCTGGATAGGCTGCAGCTGAAATGGATGAATCTCTGGGCCCAGATGAAGTAAGCTTCTAGAATCATCAAGAATTTGACCAAAGGGCTCGAGAAAACCCATCTCCCTTATCTCCCTTTCCTTCTGCTCCTCAATCTCATGTTGTTGCTCCATCATCACCTGGTGCTCAAACATGACCTAGGATTTTTTTATTTTCAAGTTATATAGTTAGCAAAATGAGAACTTAATTAAAAATATTTTATAAATTTGTGAAAAAAGAAGCTGATGGATCGAATTCACAAGTTTGCATGTTGATTTATTCTAAGCTTACAGCTTTGCATAAATAGCTATTCTGTGTTCCTGTTTGTCATGGCATGCATGTAACATGTAAGGATTTTGATTGCAGATCGATTAATGAAGAAGATGAGAAAACTTAATTGATCACATAATAATATATGTATTGGTTTTTTTACCTTTCGGTGGAGGTTCTCAAGCTGTTGATTGAGGAGTTCATTCTGTTACAAACAAATAGTCATCAATTGAGAGAATAATATATAAATTAATAAGAAAAAGTTATTACCTTGCGCGTGCGAACCTTGCCAACAGAGAACTCTAGCTGCTCTTCCAGCTGGTTGAGATCATTTACTGTTAGTCCAGTCAAGTCTTCACCAGTAATCTGCTTGAGGTTCAACTGAAGCCTATCAGTTTCGTGCCTTATTTTTGTTATCTCGCAGTGGAGTTGCTGCGAAATCGAAGGAAGCTGTAATATAATTTAACAATTAAAAATCTTTTTGCAGGTGATTAGTATGATGATTGACATGGAATACTAAAATAATAATATTAAATGGGAAATTGTTGAACTAAGAGGTCGTACCTGGTGGATGTTACGATTTTCGAACTGGATGTTTTCAGCTATCAGAAATCGGTCGATGATTTCTTCCATGCTGCAATTAATTATTACAATTGCAATTATAGTTCTGCAATGAACAAATTTCTTCCATGCTGCAATTATATATATATGAACTAGTTATTAATTAGATACATATTATTAAATTAAATTACCAATTTTTTTTCTTATTTTAGTAATTACATATGAATTCATAATTTATTCAGTTCTTCATGCACTAAGCTGTATTCTACAGTATTATTTGTACTTTTTCTCTACAAGTTTATAATTTATTATATTCTTTACTAAATCGAAACTTAAATATATTTATATTTATTTAAATAGAGTCAATAATTTCTTCATGCTAATCTTGATTCATGAATTGAGCTAAGATTATAAAAGTTTGTAATGCTAGCATGAAATATTAACGTTTGTAATGCATTTTTTGTTTCATAAATCTATACAAGTTATATGTTTTTGAATAAAATAAAAATAAAAAAGAAAAATATCTCCTGAAACTTCATCATTTTCACATGCAAAATTAGACATTTTCTTCACCTAATTCCATATGGTCCAATTGAAAAATATGCAAAATTAGACAAGGGTATATATGCAATTGGTAAATATGATGCAAACATAAATATCATATTCCAGTAGCATAAAAGTGTGATTTTCCATCATGATTTTTGTAAAAAAAAGGTCATTTCATATGTTGGTTGAAAATCAGCTTCATAATATGTTATAATCTTATTGGCATGATGATGTTTGCTATATATATATATATATATATATATTTTTGTTGTCTTGTAAATTTAAAAAATATCATGAAAAAAACTAGAATTATATCTGGGGGGCTAGAGTTAAAATTTTTATATTACAACTTAATTTAATTTTATTAAGGATGCAAATTTAAATTTTTCTTTTTGAACTTTATTAAAAATTTGTGTACTCGTAGAATATGGAATTATATACCATTGTGATTTTATGTGATATTTTTAATTATCAGAACTACATCAATCTTAGTAACACTAAGAGCAATATAGATGAATATTTCCTAATTTATATTCTCTTTAATTAATCAAGCATCCGAGGAAGAACCTCTAGTCTTAATGTTCTTTAATAACATAAAAAAAAAAACTTATTGAATGGATTGCTATAACGACTAAGTGTTTTGAAAGAGAAAAGGTAGAAGCATGCATAAAATATATGGAATAGATAGATCGATCGATATCAGGTCATTTATGAAATAAATGGATTTTATTAGTTAAAAATATGATCCTTTTTTATTAAAAAACAAGGGACGGTTCAATATATACATCTCTGATCAGAAAGTTGCCGATAAACTATTCAAACGAATTAAAAATAAATGAACCAAAATTCATCTGTAACAAAATAAAAAGAAAAAAAAAAACATTTTCTATATCATGAGAAGCCGATCCATATAATATAATTGATCACAAACCTTGAACCTGGACTTTGGTATTGATAGAGCTTCCCACTAGCAGAGAAGACGATGAGGCCGATCCGTGCATCGGTGAGAACGGCAAGTTCATGAGCCTTTTTCAGAAGCCCTCCTCTCCTCTTGGAGAAGGTCACTTGCCTATTGCTAGTGTTTTCAATTCTCTTTATCGCGATCTTCCCTCTCCCCATATTTAATTGTTAACTGCTCTGAACAAATCAAAAGACAAACTAACAAACTTCCTAACTAGTTCAGGATAAGAAATTCTGCAAGAAGTTGAATGGAAGAACAACTATTTGAATTAAATAGATAATCAGAACTGCTTTGTATTAAACCGAACAATCATCATAAGTAGAAATTTTTGCTTAGAGGAATTTAAACTATATATGCTGCTACAGTCTATTCCTTTCTACCTTTTAACATAAAATTGGTAAACAAAAGAAATAAAGGAATGAGAGAAGAAAGGAGACTCTGCAAAGTATATCTTACATGTTTCTTGCTTCGCTTGGTTGAAGAGCTGAGCTGAAGAACTCGATATGGATTTGCCTTATAGAGGAGCTTGTATGAAAGCGACATATTCTCTCAATATTAATTCGCCATAAATTCCTACTGACCACTGAGCAGTGAGCCCCTCCTCCTTTATGCATTGGACCACAAATGCAAAATATGCTGGAACGAATTTTAAGCACCTGTATATGTATTATCTAGAACTCATGTGATGATGATGCAGCTGCTTAGCTAAATGCATTAATTACATTAGATAGATGATAATAATAATAATAATTATTGTTATCTAACTTAGATAATTATATTAACTCAATTATAAATAATTTAATTCAGTGCTGCTTTGCAATATATAAGAATATACGAAGGTTAGAATGTTAAAGTAAATATAATTCTTATTTTGTAAAATTTCCTCAACTTTCTTAAGCACTGTTATATAAATTTATTTTATTTTTAAAATATTTTTTTAATTAAAAAAGCCTAAGTCGAATAATTCTGATATCTGGATTAAAAGCTGAAAAAATTGCGTCTTTATTTAATATATGCTTGAACGAGAGATATTGCAGGGCATTGTTGTAATTTTTGGGAGAAGCGAAGTGCAATTTGGTGATGAGTAAGTAGAGAGGCGTCCTGACTTCAGATAACCAGTCCTGACTCACTGGAGTTTTTGCCTTTTATGGTAGTTTCCGCAGGTCCGAAGAAATGAATAACATTCCTTTTTATGGAAGGAAATGGTGGGACCGCTGAAAACCTAGTACTCAAAAGGGCGACGACATTTCGTCACTATGCGTACTTTAATACTAACACATGGACTGCAGCAACTCTGCTAGAGAGAGAGACAGAGGATCAGAGAGAAATTGGGACCTCAGAAAAAATCTTAAGAAATGGACATGCATGTAGGCCAAATCCATTATCCACTTGCTGTCATGTGCAACTAATATGATATACGCCAAATTTTAGATAGTTTCACTATTTTTTTTTTTAATAATGAAGCATCTACCCATCACCGTCATCCTCTTTAGGAGGTGCTAGACGGCGTAAATAATTTTTCGTCAAGCCTACCAACAACCAATCCCATACGTGCAAAACCTATAGTTGTTTTCTCCCTGAACAAGGGGTTGGGTTGCATGAGAGGGAATTCGAATATGAGTTGGGGGTTCCCCACCATGCTCGCCCACCAACCCAGCTAAGACTAATGGGATAGTATACTATTATAATTATAATAACATTAAGTATTTATCCTTGTTGCGTGCTAGAATATACGCGGCGGTAGAGTTTGTAAATTCGTCTTGGCGTTGCACGAGTATTCAGCACACAAACCGAAAAGAGAATGAACACTAGAGTTTTTACGTGGAAAACCCAAAAAGGGAAAAAACCACGGGGCCTCGCCCAGTTGTAAAATTCCACTAGTGTTTCTGTAAATTACAAGAAACTGATTCGTCCCAAAAATCAAGACGATCAGATTACAACTTGAAGCAAATTTACAAAGTTCTGCAAATTCCCGGCGTTTCCCGAAAATCCAGCAGAGTTCCGGCGTCTTCAGGCCGCAGGAAGAGCTCCGGCGGCGGTGGTCGAGGAGGTGAGGAATCTCCTTTTCCCCTTT